ATAATGTGTATCAGTCACTAAATTTATGTGAAAGAACTTTTCGTACGGAAATTTACATTTATAAATTTATTTTCTCAAACATGCTTGGAAATGTGAGCATTATTTTGATAATCTTCTTAGAGGTAAATCAAAATTGCCATACTGGCCAGATACGGATATGTGGGCAGTGGCCGGCAAAAGTTGTATGAAAATCCATATCTGTCGTGTTTTGCGGCCAAATAAACTCATATCTGTCCTGTAATTTAAAAATGGAATGACCTTTTACCTTGAAACATGGCTACCAAGGAGGTAATTAATAAAAGGTTTTATTTATATTTCGAACTGGCTTGCAAATAGAAAGCTGTTTATAGAAAAAAAAAACAAAGTAACATTATGGCGCGTCAAAAATTATTATTGTTCATTATTCGTCATTGAACTTAAAAAGTAAAATTGTGTTTTTGATTTCTGTGCATTATTTAAGAAAAGTACTATACAAGCCTTGGCCACAACTAGGCATTGATGAACTCACGTATGTGTGCCTCAGCTATGCCTCGGCCCACATTTGCACGTTCGTCCATCAATGCCTCAGTTGCTGGCCGCTACAGTAATATACTATAAATTTAAATTTATAAATTTACTTAATGTATTCGTACACAATATATAGGTATTTTTATATGCATATACATTTTTGTACCCTATTGCCATGTGGTCCCGGCATAGAATGGTTGTGAATAAAAGGATGACCCTTTCCTTTCCCGTGGATGTCGTAAGAGGCAACTAAGAGAACTTAATAATCAAGGGATGGGCAGCAGCGTCCCTCTTAAATACTACCAAGAGCTTAACTGCGATTGCCAACCCGCCTGCCAAGCGTGGGCAACTACTAATAAAACCCCCCAAGGGAAGGCTTGTGTTCAGCAGTGGGCAGTTAAAAGCTGATATGATGATGATAATATAATCATCGTCATATCAACTATCATACATATCCGCCACAAAAGTTTCATCCCAATGATCTGGACGAGTGGCGGTCTTCCACCGTGCGTTTTTCAAGGCACTTTCTTCCACGCACAACCATTCTTTGGAATCAACTTCCATCAGCAGTATTTCCGAACCGATACGACAACATAACCTTCAAGAAAAGAGTATATTCCTTTTTAAAAGGCCGGCAGCACACCTGCAATGCCGCTGGTGTTGTGGGTGATCATGGGCGGCGGTAGTCACTTACCATCAGGTGAGCCGCATACTCGTTTGCCCCCTGTGTTGTAAAGAAAAAACTTTTAACTGTACACATATATCGTCATAGTTATAGAATACTGACGGATCTGACAAATATTACATATAAAGATCCGTCAGTATTCTAAGACTATGACGATATGTGTTTAGAGATTAAATATTGCGATTGGCAACTCGCCTGGTAAGCGTGACAACTACTGGCAACCCTTTTTGTGTTACTATGGCACACGCATGAAGGAAAAGAAAGAATGGAGATTGTTGTTTTATATATTTTGCTTTTTGTTTTGTTGTTTTTTATTTTCATTCTTTTATCTCTTTTACTGTGTGTTATGTGTATGTTTGTATTGTAATTTGTGTGCTGTAAGTAATGTAAATAAATTGTCTATCTATCTATCTATCTATCAACCCCCTTCCCTTTATGGGGGGTCTATGTTCAGCATTGAACAGTTAACGGCTGATATGATGATGATGCATTATTTATTTATTATAAGAATTTTATACTTAATAATACAATATCTATATACTTGCGGTAACACGAATTGATTTATCACGACTTCCTTCATACAACGATAATTGCTTGAATAAATCTCGTATAGATTATTTCAATTATGATAATAATAATTAATATGGAAAATACATATGAAAATCAAAAACAAAGAATAGCTTTGTACGTGTATTAATCATATTATAAATAATTCATAAAATATTACGACTCACAATAGTTGTGACTCAATTATACAGTACCGTGGCCACTTCAAAGGTAAGGTGAAGCTGGCATCCAGAAAACTCTGTGTGCGATGCATTTTTTAGTTGATGATAATGAAATGGTAACCCCGCCTGCGCTAACGGTATACGCTGGCGAGGCACCAGTGAGAGATGATTGGTGGGAATGAAGAGGCAGGTCAGTTAGCCCACCGTGATGAATACATCTGGAATTCAGTACGATGGTTTCTACGGGTACCACGCGGAGGTCGACCTGATAGGGCGATTACTAGCAATGGGACTGACTGACTGAGCAAAGCATTACTTCATGCCGAATTAACGATTAAATTAACTTTACAAAACTCGTAAATCTGGCCCTACATGAAGTATTGTTATCACTTATGGGCTGAAACACCTAGATATCAGCTTGAACCCTGCGACTCAGTGCAACAACGAGCTATGAGAATCGATGATCCCAGGCTTACAAGCGATATCGAAGCCTTTAATATGAGGAGAGATTTTGCCTCACTCTGTGTGTTCTACCGCTTGTACAATGGACTGTGCTCAGAGGAATTGTTCAGTGTAATGCCCACGGTTACCTTCTACCATTGCACAGCTCTCCATCGACAGGGAATTCATCCCTATGTTTTAGAACCTATATGGTCGCGTACAGCGCGGTTTCAATAATGTTTTCTCCCACGTACGCTCATGTTACGGAATAAGCTCTGAGGTTAAGCTGTCGAGGTTTTTCCAAGCAACTACAGCATGGGATTCTTCAAGAAAGGTATGAAAAGGTCGGTATTGCATGCGCTCATATGCTACAATAACCGCTTACCATCAGGTGGGCTATATGTTTGCTTGCCACCTCAGTGATATAAAATAAAAAAAATATTTTAAAAGGGTTTTAGCACAGCCCATTTTTTATATTACACATATTTTTATTACAATACCGTTATTTTAATTTTAATTTATATCAACATTAATTATATTAGTTCGCAAAATTAATTAAATTATTCCAAAATAATTCCATTAATTTTAAGAATTTATATTTCTTTAATTACACATAATTAAGAAATCCGGGTTATTGTATTTTACTTAAATAATCACATTAATTCCCGTCTCAAACACACATAAAACATGCAACGTGACAATCTTAAAAGTTAAAATATGATCACTTAAGTCATTGCGACTTGCTTATTGTAAAAATCTTAATGATGTGAACGTGCGATAAACAGTTTCGAAAAAGTCTCTCAATTTGCCTCAATTTTTTCCTTATGCTGACAAAGTAACTAATACAATTTGTCACGACTCCTTTTCATTACCAGGATATCGTAAGAGAAGAAAAAGCGACTGAACCGCAATAAACCGTCCAAGAGATGGAAAAATCGATATGAACCACTATACGTGACAGCGTGGTAATAGTGGATTATATCCTTCTTTTATTGAATAAAACCCATGGCGTTCCCAACAGTTGGACGTCAATGCGTCTACAGTGTTACGAATGAGTATAGTTATTATTCTTTTTTATAACACAGCAGGCAAGCGAGCATGCGACTCACCTGATGATAAGTGACTACCGCGCCCATGATCATCCACAACACCAACGGCATTGCAGGTGTACTGCCGGCCTTTTAAAAACAAATATACTCTTTCCTTGAAGGTTATGTTACTATATCAACGGTTAAAAAAAAATCAAGTGATTAGTATTCTAACCAATCTTTTTGACATAGCTTTAGGTGACTGAAAAGCAAACTGAAGTGCCAATAGGCTGGTCTCATAGTTTGAAGAACTGCCAACTGATGGGGAAGAAAAGACCTTGAGTAGCGTATGGGCAAACGCAATATAGGACAACCCCCCACTAAATCGAGTCACGAACTCAAATGCATTGCAAGGAGTCAGTGGATGCAGGTGGCTCAGGACCGTTCTTTATGGCAGTCTATGGGGGAAACCTATGTTGAGCAGTGGACGAATAATGGCTGAAATGATAATGACGATGATGCTCTTGAAACTAGTTTAAAACCGTAAAAACAAGATACATACAAATGAATTTAGAAAAAGTGATATACAACTTTTCCCAAAATCTACATTAATATTATAAAGAAGAAAGATTTATATTTTTGTATGTATGTATGTTTGTAATGAATAAATTCAAAAACTACTTTGCCGATTTCAAAAATTCGTTTACCATTAGAAAGCTACATTCACCCTGTGTAACATAAGCTATATTTATTGTATCTACTATAACATTCAAATACAAATTTTTGTTTATGAATAAATAAAATAAATAAAAAAAAAAATATTGCTAGAAAATATTAGAAGTCCTTACTAAAACTTTAGTAACGTAACTCAAGGTGGAAAAAAAATGTTATAAAATATCTTTTATCGCGTGCGTTGCGAAAACTATTGGTGATAGAACAAAAGTACGTTCTACAATATTGAAGAAAATATCAATAACTACAAATAACTTCGCGACACTATATGTCCAACTATTGCCGTTATGTCACAATAAACACTTTAAAACGTTGCAAAAATGTCCACCCGTGCGAAGCCGGGACTGGCCGCTAGTTCTTAATAAAAAGAAAAGTTCATAAAAAAAAAAACATTATATGCATCTTAGTGTTCAGTTTACTTCAGCATAAAATTATTTATTTTTAACTAACTTCCAAAAGGAGATTCTCATTTCGGTTATATATTTTTTATTTTGTTAATATTTGTTACTTCATAAATCCGTTAGTTCTAAACAGATTCGATTCCTTTTTAATCTAAAAGGATATAGTTACTTTCAGTTTTGTACCACTGAAATTTTATTAAAATCGATTCAGTAGTTAAGTTTTTAAATAACCGGTTTGCCATAATTGAAGTCGATTTTTTTGTGGTGTACACAATTAACTCAGCTATGTACATATCTTCTTTAAAAAATAAATAATTTATTTCGAATGTATAAAAATATTTACACTTAAACAGAATTAATTAATTATTTTCGACAATCGATAAAACCACTTCCATTTACCATTCATGGTACATTACGAAAAAAGAAATACTTAAAACCAATGATAAAATGGTATAAAGACGTTCCATAAACGATAATCGACACAAAAACCTAATTTACATACTTACGCGGTTTTGTTTATAACAACGCTGTTACGTACGAGTGTTACATTCGCGTAACAGTATTGATGCAACAATGCGGCTCATATTGTTCTGGACAGCGGTCGCTGTTAGTGCTGTGACTGCTCACGGAGATGGTAAGTCTTATTTTACTGGCCGTTTTACAAGTAGACAGATGCCTTGCAAAAAATATGCTGACAAAATTCATTCTTATTTTAAATTTCAAATTTCATTATCACTATTCTTATTTTAAAATCGAATCAGACGTGTCTATGGACGATGAGGTGCTCTATAGACATGTTTTTTTTTTATCTATTACGCATTATTTTCGCTAATTGTACATTTTCATATGATTCTTTGAATAATTTTGGATATTTTTTTTTCGAATTCATTTGGAATCGGTTTCATATTAATATTATAATAATTTTAGTCAGTTTTTTTATAGTATGTTAATTATTCATAATTTAATGTTTAATATGTTTATTACATTACAGACATTAGTCTAAATTAAATTTAATGTGAATAATTAATGTAATTTACTTTCAGTTAAAAATGAGGATAATTACATTTTAATTTAATTGCACATGTAATTAATATTAATTACTGGACTTATTCTTATTAATATTTTAAATGTGAAAGTGAGTTTGTTTCTTTATTACGTTTATTACGTCTTGACGGAAAATCGGCTCAGCCAATTGTCATGAAATTTAATATATATGTATGATTTTATGTGAAGATCATTATTATTACTAATACTACATATATATATATATATATATATATATATATATATATATGTATATCTATAATATATATAATATCTTATCTATAAAAATCTTCTGTCACTGTTTGTGGCCAAATTCCTTCGAAGTGGCTCGACCAATTATCAGTAATTTTTTCACGTATATTTGATAGGTATAATTAGGATGTCCCTGTCCAGAAAAAAATATTTATATGACAGAAAAAGTTTATAGGGTCAGCTGGTAATATATATTAAGTCTTCACTCACACATCGGAGTTTAAAATTCATCCCTAACATATTTGAAATAGTTGATTTTAATTATGAAATTTACAATTTACCTTTAGAGTCTGCGAACATATATGACTGGTATTTAATAAAAGAAATTAAAAAAATGTTAATTTGAACTAAATTAATATAGAATACCTATAATTTCTTCGCAGCAAATTTTACCAGATAATTAAATACTGTCTTTTACCTACGACTTCGTGCATATAACCGAGATATGTTTACTGACCTGCATGAAAAACCTATATCCTTCTACATTCTGTATAGTATGTATATACTGAATTTTATAATAATTGGTTGAGCCATTAAGACGCTATAAGGTAACAAACAAACGACCTCACTTTCACATTTATCAACCGACTTCAAAAAGAAAGAGGTTCTGAAATCGGTTGTATTTTATATTATGTTTGTTACCCCATAACTACGTCAGTTGTAAACCAATTTGGAAAATTCCTTTTTTATCTGAGAGAACATATTTACAGATTGGTCACATAGAAATTTTAGCAAAATTAATTTAGTAGTTTAGTTTTTATATAAAAAGAACTGCTTTTATTAAAGTCGGCTTTTTTATTTTTTATTTGAAAATTAGTATGGATTACTTTTTTTATGTAACTACAGTTGTTAGTACTCCAAATAAGAATTAAGTATATTCAGTTGTGTAGTGCAAATTGTTAAACGTTTACAATGAAATAAAAGGTCAAAGCGCTTGCATAATGCCGTATTATGGAATCGTATTGTATAATCTCCGTGACCAAGCGACCGTGTTCTTGACATATCTTATATATATATATTATTATACCAATTGTGTCCCGCGATTTTCCTTACTTAAGTCAGTATAAGAAAGTATCCTATATACGAGTACTAAGTTAGTTATAACCTACTATTTATTGTATCAAATTCTACTCGAATTGATTCAATAGTTTTTTTATACCACTAAGGTGGCAAATAAGCATACAGCCCATCCAATGGTAAGCGGTTACCGTATCCTAGGAACGCCTGCAATATCAGAGGTATTATTAAGTATTATAAAGTACCGTATATAACTTAGCAAGTTAGGATATAACCTACTAATAAACCAAATTCCATTCAAATTCTTTCAATAGTTTATTTTATACCACTAACGTGATCGTACGATCTACCTGATGGTAAGCGGTTACCGTAACTTATGAACGCCTGCAATATCGGGGGTATTACGCGCGTGTTGCCGACTCTGAAGAAACCTCTTTACCCGCCTTTTGAAAAATTCCATGCTGTAGTCTCTTGGGAAAACCTCGGCAGAGAGCTCATTCCATGACCTGAGTGTTTGTGGGAGAAAACATACGTTTTTACGTAAAAGAGTAACAAATAACCATCTATCCATCCATCGTTACAAACTGTTTTCCCTTTGTATGTACAGAACCCTAAAAATAGACACACATATTTGTACTGTGCCGGAAATGTTAAATTTCGAAACTACCAAGGTCACGTTTGACTGTCTCATATAGTTGTGACCAGAAATTATAGTTTTGACCATTTTTTTTTTCAGTACCAGAGGGCATCTACAATGAGCTCCCGTGTCTGGCTTATGGTGGGGAATGTTCCACGAAAGCTGAATGTCCAGACGGAAAGCTATCGAAAATAAGTGGACTGTGTCCAACTCAGCAGGATCAAGGTGTCGAATGCTGTTATAGGTGTAAGTAATTTTTTAATACATTTTATGGCTAAGAAATTTCTGTGAAAAACATTTGGTACTCACATTTCTTAAATTGGCTCGATTGGAAATCGAATCCGGGACTTCAAAGCAATACGCCCATCACTACGCCATGGAAATCATACTGAAGTATTTTTTCATCATACATCCAACATCTACGACAATAACATAATATATATTTAAGAGTTAATAATGATATCAGTCGTTAACTGTTCACTACTAAACATAGGTCTACTCCAAAAGGAGATTTTGCCAGTAGTTGCCACGCTTGGCAGGCGGGATGGCAACCGCAGTTAAGTTGTGGACATGTTTTAAGGGAGACGCTGCTGCTTTGCTTCGACTATTAAGATCTCATAGTTGCATCTTATGATAGTCACAAAAAAGGAAAAGGTGACCTATAGTTAATAATATTAACTAATAAATATAATATAATAAATAATTTAATATAAAATTTTAATTAATTAATCTATGTTAATATTATTGTGGAGTTTTTACCTTTACTCATTTAGGGACTTTCGTGTTTTTAGGCACTCCTGTCCCATCGTACCTTAATCTATTTTAGGACAATATCGGATTTATTTTAACAATCATAATAAGTCCTCGCAAAATGAAGTAAGGGGAACGAAAAAATGTCGTAGTTAATTATATAATATACCTTTATAGATAGAAGAAAGAACAAAAATAATATATGGCTAGATGTAGGCCTCAGCGTGGGTAGATCTATATTAAAACCTACACTTTATCATATCGTACACCAGCCTCGCGTATTCACGCAAATGTTCTGCTAGAAACTAATTAATTATTAATGAATTAATTAACAATTAACGAATTATCAAATAAGTAATTAAATACTAATTATTTAATTAACTTCTAATTATGTAATAATAAATAAACAAAAATGAAATATTTGAAAATTAATTATGTTTCAGCTCCATCATCCACAACAAGGTGCAAGCGTCGGGGAGGCGAATGTATATCAAAAGACTCGCAGTGCCCCGAATACCTTTTGTTATCTGAAGCCACAGATTGTTCTGATAACGAGAAGTGTTGTATATTTGTCAAATGAGTCATGCCTAAGCTGTGTACGAGTATACGTAGGATTAGTTAATTTGTTCTTTTTTATCCTAATATATTTATTAAATACAATAAAACTGGCACGCATAATTAAATTTTTTTTTTTACCACGGAAGTGGAACTCAAGCGTGTAAGTCCATCTTTTTTTATGTAACTTAGAATGGCATGTCTGCCATTCTAAAGCTTGTCAGCTGGCGACCTACTTGATGGAAAGTGATAACCATCGCTAATAGACATGAGCGGTACCACGGACATAACAGAGTATACTGTTGCACCAATGGCAATGGGATACCTCCCATGCATCATTGTATGATAAACAATCACTATAGCTTATGGATGTCTGCAACAGCCGGGGTATGACATGCGCATTGCCGATACTGGAATAACTTAAATATGCCCTTTTTGAAGAACCCTATACTGTAGTCTCTAGGGAAAACCTTGGCAGAGAACTCATTCTACAGTCTGAGCTTTCGCGGGAGGAATCTTCTTTGAAACTGCACTGTATGCGATCGATTTAGGTTGTAACGTGTGAGGGCCTCTAATTATTTAATATCCTAGACTTGGATTATAAATATTTTTACTAGTAAAAACAGTCTAACGAGTAAATGCAACTTAATGAGACGGCTACAGATACTTCTACAGAACTTTTCAAAAGTGGTATACTTAGGTGCTGTAATAATATTTCACTACGTGATTTTTATTAAAGGGGTCTAACAGCCCTATTGCTAGCAATGTACGCAATCAGATCCATGCGATCCCTCTGAAATCTGCCATGGTTAATTCTTGATGAATCCGTTACGATGGGCCAACTGATGTCCTCATGTCCTACAGCCTCAGTGGTCACGTACTGCGCGGTTTCAGAGACGTTTCCTCCCACAAACACTCAGGTTGTGGAATGAAGTCCCTGCCGAGGTTTTCCCAAGAGACTACAGCATGGGGTTCTTCAAAAGGGGGGTAAAGAGGTTTCTTCAGGGTCGGCAACGCACGCGTAATACCTCTGGTATTGCAGGTGTTCATAGGCTACGGTAACCACTTACCATCAGGTGGGCCGTATGCTTGTTTGCCATCTCAGTGGTATAAAAAAAACTGACCTGTTTCCAAGCTCGTTATTTGGACGAAAAACTAAAGGTCCAGTAGTCTGAAGAGAGGGCGGTTAACGATGACTTTCCTAGAATGGTAGGCCTTTCGAAACAACTTAAATTAGTCGTAACTCTTTGATGAACTGGTTCACCTGCTTTCTTTGGTTGTTGTCTTTCTCCATGGCGCAGCTAGAGATCCTCACTGACTCCCAAACATGCACAAATAATGTCATTACTAATATGTATTAATTTTTTTTGGAAGTGATTATGAAATGGTAACTTCGTCTGAACTATCGGTGTACGGATAATAAATAAAGCTGAAGTTTTTTTTTTTTATTTATGAGTAAAAAATATATGGTATCCCCGCCTGCGCTAACGGAATACACTGGCGGAGCACCAGTGAAGGGTGATCGATGAGAATGAAAACTGGCCAGTTAGCCCATCATGATGAATTCATCAGGAATTAACCATGATAGATTCAAGAGGGAACCACGAGGAGGTCAACCTGGTTAGGCATATTGCTAGCAATGGGATTTTAGTCTCCATTACTAACAATCCCTTTCCCCCCACCAATAAATATGAAGTTAGGTCAGTTAAATGAACATGACCAATACATTAGGAATTAACTACGATAGTCTCCAGGGGGTTTTGTCAGTTGTTGCAACGTTGGGTAAGCGGGTTGGCAACCGCAGTTAGGCTGTGGTCTTGTTTTCAGAAAACGAGAGAAACGCTTCGATCATTAAATTCCTTTAGTTGCTTCTTACGATACTCACGAGAAAGAAACAGGTAGTCCACTTTTTGCCCACACGGCAACCTAACGGGGGTCGACCTGATAAGATATATTGCAGCCTCATTGCTGTTAGACCCCATTACTAACAATCCCTTTCCTCCCACGAACTTAAGGTTAACCCTGTCGACGCGCAAACAAAATAAATTTCCGATTGCCCGCCTCTAGTAAATTATGCTGGGATATAAACCACCTGAAGGGAGGTGAACGGTTTAATTACAATTTGTATATATTCTCGCGCCTCAGTTTGGCTACGCTTTGTGTGCGGTCGGTAAGAACGCGATGGAGCAATTTGCCCGTACCATGATGCATTTGGGGACATAAAAAGTATTTACAAGGTAATAAAATAATTAAATATTGTGTTCTGCAAAAAAAAAAAAAACTTCGATTGTAGCCAAACCAATCATTTTGACTTTAAAAATAAATTTCTAAATCAGTATTCATAAAATTTCTATAGAAATTTTCTAATTCGGTTTACAATTGATGGAGTTATGAGGTAATAAATATAAAAACCGAATCAAGTACCTTCTTCTTTTTTAATTTGGTTGAAAATAAATACACAATAGTGCTGCTATGGCGGTTTAACACACCCCTTTGTCTTACAACTAGTAATCCGCCACGGTTTCGCTCGGTATATAAAAAATACAGAACATGTTACTATGATACATGGCTTATATTGTATGGTATGTAATATAGCTTGTAATAGATGAAAGAATTTTTAAATATATAATCCATTGCTGAATATAAGCTTGGGCGTTTTGTCAGTAGTTGCTACGCTTGGCAGGCGGTTTGGAAACCGAAGTCAGGCTTTAGAGATGTTTTAAGAGGGACGCTGCTGCCCATCCCTCGCTGCTCCTTAGTTGTCTTTTACGACTCTAACGGGAAAGGAAGGAGTGACCACACGGCCACAAGATATATAATAAGTTTTTTTTTAGTGGAAGATAATGGAATGGTTGCCTTGCTTGCGCTATTGGTATATGCTGGCGTGGCACCAGTGAGTTAGGTAGTGATAGGTGAGGACGAAGCAGGTCAGTTATCCCACCGTGACGAATATAAAAATAAATCAATCACGATGGTTTCCAGGGGGAACCACGAGGAGGTCGACCTGACAGGGTATATTGCTAGCAATGGCGTTACTAATCCCCATTACTCCTTTTTCCCCTCGATATATAATAGTAAAGCTATTTTTTTTTAGTTTATCCATTATAAGCAAAAAATCATAAGTATAAAGTGGAACGTAATAATAATTGGTTTAAATGGTGAAAGGTTTTTCCCGCATAAACATATAAACATTTGTATACATAAATACATCCATTTGTATTATTCTGGGTCATATTTATGTATAATACATATCATCATCATCGTCTTGGCCATTATTTGTCCACTGCTGAACATAGGCCCAGAAACGGCCCTGTTCCTTTTTTTTATACGACTTAGAATGGCAAACAAGCTGACGGCCCACCTGGTGGAAAGTAGTAACCGTCGCCCATAGACATGAGCAGTACCATGGACATAACAGAGTATACTGTTTCGCCCATGATAGTCCCCATGCGTTGCCTTTCCTGAGGACTCAGGTGTTATCTCCTATGTTCCTATCTCCTTCTCAATCCCATATGGTTAATTTTTACTCACGTCTTTGAGTGGCCACCTTGTACAGGCAAACACAGTTTACGACCCCAAGGAACTGCAGGGAATCAGTGAATGCAGGTGACTCAGGACCATTCCTTATGGCAGTCTGCGGGGTAAGCTTATGTTTAGAAGTGGACAGATAATAGCGAAATGGTGATGATGATATATTTTATATATATATATATATATATATATATATATATATATATATATATATATATAGATATATATATGTTATATGGTATATGTTTTTTTCTATTAGTAAGAATGTATCCTATTATTTTGTGCTCAAGTGTAAGAACTAACAGCGTTCCATAGCCTTTGTTCTGAGTACACGGTATTTGTACATTATGGGCAAGCTTAAACTGACAAATTACGCCCCCCATTGTTCTGCTAATTAGGGAACGCGTATGTATGTTGTACAATTAATTTTGCATTATATACAGCGTATACATACCGACATTACGTGCGGGTAACCCCACCTGACACGGCAGTAAATAAAAGGTCACTCACTTATTTTTCTTTAACCGTTTATAAAATTTGCTTTTTAATTATAATACAAATGTATTTCTTATTTATATTATATTTTTTATTTGTATGTCAAGGTATTTAACAGTTTTATCAGTTTTTAATTAAATATTTATTAATGAATACATAAGCGACAAGAGAATTAAAGAAAACACACACACCACGCACACGCACATGCGCACGCACGCACACATGCACACACTCACACACGCACACACGCACACACGCACACGCACACACACGCACACACGCACACACACAAACACGCACACGCATACACAGGAGCCTCTTTTAAACTTTTAAATGAATGAAAGTAATTCGCACATATTAGACCGTAGCTAACAAGTTAACACAGAATATTTTTGTCTCGATCCAAGTGGGCAAACCTTTGACACATAAAAAGATGTATGTATATAAAAAATAATATTTATTCCTCTATTTTTTTATCTTAATGCAGCTGATGCAAGCATGCGGATACACCGTTCCAGGTCGTTGCACCGCAATAGCAGAGATGGTGAATACAAGTTATAAGATTAAAGCGACATTTTGGATATCATTTATATTTCAGAAATTATGATTCTTATGTTACTTCTAAATATGAGAAGAATTTTTTCTTCGATACATAAAGCATATATCTGATGTGGTATTATGATAGTATTACGTTATTTAAAAATCCCTATTCTTTCTAGATATAATTTTCTGTGATAATTATGTAAATATTCACCTGTTCACTATAAATAATAAAAATTAAGCCATATAACTATTTATTCATTCATTTCAGCCATATTTCGTCCACAGCTGGACATAAGGCTCCCCCATAGACCATATAACTATAATTGAATTTTATTATTACTGTGGGCTATAAAAGAAACCAGAAATGAAAATTGAAAATATATCGTCATAGTTGTAGAATACTGACGGATCTTTATATGTAATCTTTGTCAGATCCGTCAGTATTCTACGACTATGACGATATATTGATAGAGGAAGCTTAGAAAGTTAAGGCCTTGAAAGGAAAATAGAATTGTGTGTCAATTTCGAATTGATTAAATAATAAAATAAAAACTAGAAA